TTTTCTTGGGATTGTCAGTGGTTGGTAGAAGACAAAAAGTGCACAGTTTAATTTGTGGCTAAGAATGAAAAGACAGGTGTCGAATGGAATTTCAAAGAATGCCTTTTTCTTTTCAGAGTCGAAATAAGGCATTCTTGGGGGGCAATTTGTTGGCTCCTAAATTCGACACCCTTGTTTTTGTTAATATCAATCATTAAAGCTGAAGGATGGTTTCGACCAGCTGGGTCTGTCGAAATGCCCATCAGAAGATGGCAATGTACTTAGAGAAATTCTTCCAAGGAAGAATCTTGTTGCCTTCGACGTCGAAGGTGCTTTTCGACGAAGGTGTTCGATTGCTCAGAGTGGAACGGTTTGAGATTCAAACGTTTGGAGGGAAAACGGTTCCCAGCGGTTACCAAGTGCAACGTGCCAAGATCTGGAGCGTCGAATGCTGTGAACGTGCCAAGTGGAGTCATCTCGAAGCAGTGTAACTGCCCGACGGTTACTTGGGATGTGTTTAGTATAAATATTAGTAGTTCACGCAGTTTTTCGCGTGTGTTCACAATTATATACAAGTCACTCATATAGATTCGAGTACCCAGCGTGAGAGAAAGAATTGTTGAGAATGTATGTGTGAAACACCACTTTAATTAATCAAAGTCATTTATTTTCCAGAAACTTTACTTGCTTTCTTCTTTACTTTCCCAGTCGAAGCATTTCATTTCAAGCCTTTCTTTATTTTATCAAGTTCTCTTCTTCATGCAATTTACATAAAGCTTCTTTATTTTCTCGTCATTTAACCATTACCAAACTTAGTCAAAACCCCAAAATCAACCATGTCTTAGGATCAATCTGATCGATCCTGCGAGTCACCAAATAAGTAACCTTTTGGAAGATCAGCGGTTGTTTACCAATTCCCACGGTAAACAGTAGGAAACTGCAGTAGTTCCTTTGTTTGAACCTTCAGTGGCCCCTTTGTTTAGACCTTCAGTAGCCTTTTTGTTTAGTCCTTCAGTATGCTTTTTGTTTAGCATTTCGACAACTTCTTTGCTAACATCTTCAGTGAAACTGCCAAAGACGGGTTTGTTGATGAAATTTGCTGAGACTTCGACCATGTTGATGCTGGAAGGTTCAGCATAATTGGCCTCATCTTGCAATGGGTTTGATTCAATCTTCATGGGTGGCTTGTCAGCAAACTTAAGCCTTCCATCTTTGATTGCGCCTTGAACAAGATCCCTGAAAAGAAAACATTGCGAGGTTTTATGGCCCAAAAAATTATGATATTTACAAAAACCTCTCTTTTTCCTTTGATCTAAAGGAGGCATTTTTGCCCCAGGGGGTACTATCATCTGGCCATCTTTAACTAGCAAGTCAAATATTTCGTCACATTTTGTGACGTCAAAACTATATGTTTTCTTTGGAAACCTATCAATATTCTTTTCAGTTTCAATAGGAATTTTTCCATTTGCGGGTGTTAACAGTCTGAAAGAGTATGGTGGCCCTTGCTTTAACTCTGTTAAATCTCTCTCTCTCTCTCTCTCTCTCTCTCTTTGACAGTTATAGGATCATTAGATGTCTCTGGATCGTCATAATCCATTTCTACATATGATACCCTTTCTCTTCAATGGTTCTTATTTGCCTTAGCTTTTTCATCCTTAGGCGTTCCACCTGTCGAACTATATCGGCCAATTGGGCCATATCTCTCAGGTATTGAGTATCCTAATGGAATAATCTAGACCTCCTATAGCTATTTCGACTAACTCATGTTCATGCACTTGTGTAAAGCATCTGGCCTTGAGTAATCGAAATATGTTTAGATACTCGTCAATTGGCTCAGTGAACCTCCTTTTCACACTAGCCAATTCTTTCAAACTTATTTTGGTTTGTCCTATATAGAACTGTTCACGGATTGATCTCTCCAACTGATTCCAATTGTGGATCGAATTGGCTGGGAGTGTAGTAAACCAAGTGAAGGCATTTTTGGTTAGGGAACTTGGGAAATACTTAATCCTAAGATTCTCATTATTCGAAATTTCCCCAACCTCTATCAAATACCTTGCTACGTGTTCGACAGTGGACTCTGTTGTATCCCCTGGAAATTTGGTGAACTTTGGAACATTCCACCTAGGAGGTAATTCTGATTGCAATATATAATCTAACAATGGAAATGTAAAGTTTGGCCTATGAAAGCCAATGTTGACTCCATTCTGTGCCATGATTCTCTCAACCATGGCTGTCGAGTTATTATCTGGTGCATAGTTGTGATGTCGAACCTGTTGTACTACTTCGCCAACATTGTGGTTTCTATTTACCATAATTATACCTTGTTCGACAGCTCTAGGGATTTGTGGGATAACCCTGGGTATTTCGACTCTAGGTTGTTCGATTTCCATTATATGATTTATCCCCACTGGCTGTGAATTTTGGTTAATGGTCATATCATCCTCTAAGACTACACCTTGATTTCCTCTTATGAACTCTCTTTGGGATTGTCGAATAGGTTGGGGAACCCCAAAAAATTCAGCCATGCGCGTCATCTGTGTTGTCATTTGCTGATTCGACTGGGTGGTATTTTGTATTAGAGGGTTAAGCACTGTACTCAAAGTTTGTGCCAACATTTGCACCATGTCATGGTTGCTTTCATCCATTTTTTGCCTCAAAATCGTTGTAGAAGCATTTGTGAGGCTTGGCATCATGTGGGATGTTCCTGTTCCTCCCAAGAATTAGTTCCTACCCAAATTTTCCATATCAATTCCAGATCCCTGCAATGGTGAAGATGCACTCACCAAAGGTTATGAAAATATGGACGAAGCATTCACCAGGCTTGCCATTTCAGTAGTTGGCATGCCATAAGGTTGTTCTCGACCCATCCAGGCCGTCGAAAACCCTAGAGGGACGTAGGGTAGAACCCCTAGATTTCCCCTTGGTGGGGGAGTTCCTGGTGGACCCCTAGGACTTACATAAGAAAGTATTGGTCCTGTTTATGTAGTCGTCAATGCTGGTGTCAAACCAACTGTTGATGGTATAGGCTCACTAACTGTTGGTATAACAGTATTTCTAATGCTAGAAATTGGTGGAGGCATTTCTTCACTACTAGACAGATTAGCCATTTTACCATTTCTTCTCTTAGGTACGTATTTGTGAGTGGTTATTTTGCCACTTCTCAATAACATACAACAATCTTTGAAATAAAAGAAATCACTTGAAGTATAAAAACTATTTTTGTCAGAGTTTGTAAAACAAGAAAACTTAGCAACGTCCCACCAGGTGTGCCAATTTGTTTACCGTGAAAATTGATAAACAACCGCTGATCTTCCAAAAAAGGTTATTTTGGTGACTTGCATGATCAATCATATTGATCCTAGAACATATGCTAAGTTATTTCATAAGTTTAATAAATTTAAGTGAAAAAGGTTAAGGGGAGAATTAATGGTAGAGGCAAGATGTAAACGAAAACTTGATAAAAGTGCAAGTAAAAAGTAAGTAGAAAGGGGTTGAGAAGAGTATAAGGATAAAGGTTGAAAAATGATAACAAGTGCAAGTAAAGACGAGATAGAGTAAATTTGTAGTAATGATAAAGTTTGCAAGGAGATGTAAAGTAATTGTAAAGACTTTGATTGAAATAAACGACGGTGTTTCAAATGTACATTCTCAATATCTTTTCTCTCACAACGGATACTTGGATATATTTGAGTAACTTGTACAATATGTTGAACACACATAATTTTTACACAAATCTCCTATATTTATACTGAAACTAAGTAACCGTCGAGCAGTTTCCTCGTTCCAGGATGAGGGCAAATGTCCTCTGCATGTGCTTCGACCTCTATCTTTATGCCACATTTCTTTCCTCAACTGTTGAGTGATCTGCCTTTCCCTCCTTTTCTTCAAATTCAAAATTACTCACTTGCTGATACGAGAACCTTTTAGTCGAAGGTCACGGGAGCCTCTCAGTCGAAAACCAACTTTAACTTAGAAAATCCTCTAAGTGTTTTCTCCTTCTTAGCAAGGGAGACTTCGACACAACCTTTTTGTTATTAGCTCTTCTGTCGAAGTATTTCCAAATTAGATTTGTTCAATCTATTTTTTGGCCAATAAGACCCATATGTTGTGAGTGCCGAATTTAGGAGCTAACACCACCTCTTCACCTTCTTTTCCCTTCTTTCCACCACCCAGAAATTCCTTCAATAATCTAGCATATTTAGACATTAGTTCCAAAAATTCATTAAAGTGAATACATACCTGAAGTTTAGTAATCATTTCCTTGAATTTTTGATACAGCTAAACGTCGTCTTCCACATATGATTTCTTTTTCAGGATAGGATACAATGACTTGATATAATATGATAACTTAAGACTAGGTTCATTCAAAATCTGTTTTTTAGTCCTTCTTAAGAGTGAATTCTTGTTTATCAATTGATCCATGACGAGTCCCTTCTTAGAGGTCTCACTTACATTTTCACTCACTTTCTTTTCAGTTTCAATTTCTATTTTTTTCACTATTTAATCACTTTCCATCTTAGTGTTCCTACCCAATCCTGACTCCATAACCTTATAAATTCACTAGAATTATCACTAAAATAATGTATTGTTTGAGGTCATGCATTTTAATTATCATTATTTTTTGTCAAACACATCAAATAAATTTTTTATGTATCATAGTATCAACAAATTCAGTAAAATTATTACCATTTTTCACAATGAGCGTGAGCACCAAGTTTTCCAAAGCCATCTCTATTTTTGGTAAATAAACGTGCAAAAATCCCACTACATAGGCAATTGTTTGAATGGAAAAAACAGGTGAAAAAGATATGATTCATCACGTGATAAGTCTTCCAATAAATGGAAGGAAAACACGGCAACGTCACCTCTTATCTACCCCTTACCCTCAGCATGAAAACCCGCGAAACTTTGAACCACGTATATAAATAACAAAACTATCACCAACTTCCAACTTTTATTTTCTTTCGAAACGCTTTGGTTTTAGGGTTTACATTCAAACGCCGCATTGTCAAAACTCCATGGATGAAGTTAGGGCTACCTCTGCTTGGGTCGCTAGCCGCTCCTCCCATGTCACCGTCGACTCTTCAGGTTCTCACCAATGTTGTTCATTGTGATTTGCGTAACTCTCCTTTTCGTTCTTGTTCTTGTTCGAACGTGTTTATTTATGGTTGCGTTGATGGTTTTGGTTTTCAGGAATTGAGAAAGTTGTGAGCACGATTGATTCTATTCCCAAAGTTGATTGGGATTTTGAAGGGATTCATTATTTTGATAATGGACCACTCACTGTTCAGTACTTGTTTGTCTTGGATGCTTTGAATTTCTGCTTCTGGCCAGGTACGTCGAAACTTTCGCAGTTTTATATGGATACAAGGTATGCGATACCAATTTCAGTTGTCCCGGTATGAATTAGTCACAATTCTCGGTATCCGATTTGTCACGGCTGTTTTCACCGCCACATACTGTTTTTCAAAACTTATAATGAAAATGCTTAAGGATTATCGATAGTTAACCATCGGCTCTGTGTTTCTTTGATTTTAGGGTGTTAATGGTCCTCTGTTTTTGTGTATTCTCTTGTAGTTGTTTCTTTTCTGGAATGTATTTGAATTTATTGTGGCTGCATTTGTTTGGTTATGAAATAAGTTCATTGTAGGAAAAAAAGAGAAGTTTTTCCTCATAGCAAGATTTTGGTATTTAAAGTTAAGCATACAGCCCTGTTTTGATAAACAGTTTAATTAAATGCTTATAGCATAAGCACTTATCAGTAAATGTTTATTTATAAGCTATATAGATAACATAAAGGAGACCTGTTTTCATATAATTTATAAACTATAAATTGTTTTCATGTTATTCAGGAGAGGTGAAAGTAGAGTTTGTGGACACATCATAAATAGGTTTTTTCTATAAGTTGTTATGAATAATATCAGAAGTGATTATGTCGGTAGACAAGTTAAAGCAAGACAGTTCTGAAAAGCACTAAGAAGAACTTTCTTAGTGTTATACTTCGTGTGAATTTATTAAGATACCTGTATAACGTGTTGTTGGAAAATGATGGATGTGAATGTGAAAATGGTTTGTGAATATCCAAAAGGTGGCAAACTTGGATTTCCATGTCTGTGATGTTTTTTCTAAACATTTGATTTGGACATTTGGTTAACAACATTTTGGTTCTTGTATTGGCATGTTATTAGAAGTGTTATTTGAACATCCAATATTTGACACTGTCACTGTCAAGACAATAGTGACTGTTTGATTTTGAACTGACGGTTTGTTGGAATTAATTCATATTTAGAAGTTGTTGTTAGAATCAGAAGCTTCTAATGTATTACTCAGAAGCAATAGAGTTTCTGAGGTTGTTAGTCAGAAGTTGTTATCAGTCAGAAGCATAAGCTTCTGATGTTGTGTCCTAGAAGTATGTTCAACTTCTGGGCAGAGTTATTAATCCCAGATAGCGGAGCGGAGCGGCCGATCCTCGGGAATGGGAAAGGAATAACGGGATTCCGAATAACGGGATAACTTTTTGTAAACTAATAATTATATAATAATCTATAAAATATATGTCATGTAATACTAAATTAATTTCACAACACTCATAAAATATTTATAAAATCTAATGTCAAACAAAGAACAATGCTTAATCAAGATTCAAAACATAAAGATTCAAATTCAAACTTAGTACTATCATATGAAAATTCAAGCAAACATAGAAATCATGTAGCATCATCCAAATATTCGTCCAATTCTTCATCTTCAACTTCTTCAACATATTCCTCCAATCTTCATCTTCAACTTCTTCAACTTCTTCCTTCAATTCTTCATCTTCAACTTCTTCAACATCTTCCACCACTTGTTGTGCCATTGGTGCTCTAGGTGTCATTGTTGCTCTTGGTGAAATTGTTGTTATGGGTGCCGTTGTTGCTTGAGAAGTACTTCCAACTTCAAGTTGCCTTGTTGTCCTCCTAATGTAGATTATAGACTCATTAGCTCCACTAGCATCGACAACTTGACTCCAATTTAAATCATGATTTGGATGAATCAAGTCTTCACCATCATCTCCTACATTTTCCATCTCTCCCATCAACCATTCGGTGTGAAAATTAATTTCATTAAATTTCATAAGATCAATTTTATCCTGAATTTCAAACCTCTCTACCAAAGCTTGATTATACTTGATAAACACCAAGTCTTGCAATCTTTGATGTTCCAATTTATTTCTCTTCTTGGAATGAATCTAAAATACAATAATTTGAAGTATTAATTTAATAATACTTGCATGTAAGATACTTTAATATCCTAGTAAAAAATTAATACTCACATGTTGAAAGATGCTCCAGTTACGCTCACATCCGGAAGCACTGCAACTCAAACTCAACACTTTAACAGCCAACAATTGCAACTTCAGAGTTTCGGCTCCATAAGACTTCCACCACTTAGCTACAAGTAATTGTAAAAAATCATTCCATTTCCATATACATAACACAAAGTGTATCATATGTAAAAAATCAAAAAATCATTCCATCTTACCCGGAGCTAATGTCGACCTTTGTCTAATTGCCGCTCTTATACCAAAGAGACCCGTATCACCCCTGTATTGTGACAATTGTTCTGAAATCAAATCTTCCACTGCATAACTTTCATTAAGCGTCTCAATGCACTTACAGAGGCCTTTCACCAATCTACCATTATTCTCAATTTCTGGTTTAAAATAATAATATTCAGGATTGAGATCGTGACCTGCAGAATATATAGAGGATGATGGAGTTGACACTCCCATCTTTTATCAATGATTTCAAATACGGCTTTGTACTTGCTTGAATTTGAACTAAAAGCTTTCTCAATTGATTCCTTCGCAACTCCAATTGCGGCATATATGTATCTCATTACGGGTTTTCATTATCAACCATTCTTAGCACATCTACAAGAGGTGTCATGCACTTAAGAGTGTAGAGAACATCATTCCAAAATGATGTCGTAAGTATAGTAGTAGCTGTCCTTTCTCCTTTAGCATCTTTGACACACTTGAAACTCGTCCATTCTTCACAAAGGAACACTCTCTAAGCTTTTCTTTTAGTTCTTGCATCCTTTGTAGACAAAGGAAATGGGTAGCAAACCTTGTCACTCCTTGTTTAACCAATTCAACATTACCGGTAGTCTTTCTCATTAGATTCAAAGCAAAAGTATGATTATAAATGTAGCCCACAACCTTAACCCCTTTTTGTATAACCTTTTGAACCTTTGGAATTTTGCCTATGTCTTCTAACATAAGGTCTATACAATGGGCAGCACATGGAGTCCAAAACATGTGAGGCCTCCTCAAACACAATTCTTTATCCGCCGCTACATAATTACTTCCATTGTCGGTAATCAATTGAACAACATTTTTTTCACCCATTTCCTCAATAAAAGTGTCCAACAACTCGGCTTGCTTTTCCCCGTCCTGGCATAGTTAGAAGCATCAACACTTTTCACAAACATGGTCCCCGTCGGACAATTGACCAAGAAATTAATCAATGTTCTAACTTTTCTATCAGTCCAACCATCCGACATAATTGAACATCCATATTTATTCCTTTGCACCTTTGATTTTTCAACAAACCTTTTGTATATTCCAAATCATTTCGAAGGATTGGAACCCTGAGTTCATGATAACTTGGTGGTTTCAAATGAGGACCATAACTTCCAACGGCTTCCAACATCAACTTAAAAGCTCTTGCATTTACTACGTTAAAAGCAACTCCACACGTATAAAAAAAGCAACCAATATATTGGATGGTTCTTGCCCTTGCTTCTTTATCACATGCATCATTGATGCTTGTGTCCTTACTCTTCTTATACACCATATCCAACGACCCCTTAGACCATCATCCGCATCTAATTCCACCGGAACCTCTTGTATTCCTTTCTTAATTCTCTCTTTCTCAACCATGTCCGCACGTAATATAGCCTTAACATCCTCAGGTGTTTTCGTGCAAGAAATTACATCACCGGTAATTGCTAATTGCTAATTGATGCCTTTTGACTCTACTTATTCCCCCACTGCTGGTTAAATTGCAAAAATCACATGTCACCTTCTTATTATTCAAATCCTTCCAAATGATTGTATTTACATCCTATGTCCTTACTATTGGCTGGTTTGAACGTTGGAGCACATGAGGCAACCGACGCAGAATTCAGTGTCGACGAAGAAGCTGCCATATTTTTCTAGAAAAGAAATAAAAGTAGAAACAGAAACGGAGATGAGAAAACATAGAGTGAAACAGAGAGTTGAAACAGAGATGAGATTGAGAAAACAAAGAATGAAACAGTACGAAAATAAGTATATTTACCCGAGGCTGGCCGAGAGTGAAACAGAGAAGTGGAACGGAGAAGTCGAACAGAGAAGTGGAACGAAGAAGTAGAAGAAGGTTTGCTGGCTGCTGCCTGTTGGAACGGCGGAGAAGTGGAATGGAAGTAGAAGAAGGCTTGCTGGAACGGTGGAGAAGTGGAACGGAAGTAGAAGAAGGCTTGCTGTTGCTGGAACGGTGGAGAAGCAAATGGAAAAATAGGGCACAAGGAAATAGGGCACGCGGAAGAAGAATGAGAAATAGAAATCTGTTTTAAAAACTATTTTAAAACAAGGGTAAAACAATAATTTTGTCCCAAAAAAATAAAAATATAGCAGGCCAGATCCGCGCCGCCCGGGAGGTGTCCGCTATCCTCGATCCGGTCTAGTGGCGATAGCACCCACGATCCTCTCTCCGCCACCACACCCATGTGCGCGCGCGGTAGGCCCCCTCTCCGGTCTGGAGCGCCGCGATAGCGGCCGCTATGTGCACGATTAACAACTCTGCTTCTGGGGTTCTAATTGTTTTGTTAGCTTAGCTATTAAGTTTAGTTTGTTTAGTTATTAAGTTTACCTTTTGTTAGGGCCTATGTGACAATTTAATTTGTCTATAAATAGATTGTGGTAGCTGTTATAAAAATGTTCAATTATTCTTCCTACAATTTTATAGCCGTCATTGTAGAATATTAATATTATTCTCTCATACCTTTTTTTCTTTATTTTATTCATTTTATTAACCTTGTACACTAATACGGTTAAAAAAAACTGATTTGATTTTTCAAAAATTATCTACTTTAAATCAGTGATGTCCAATCATAATCAGACGGTTAGGTATAGCTGAATGCGTGAATGCATTCTTTTATGACTGCAGGGGATTTGGGTTCCTAAAAATTACACTCGACACCTTTGACATCCAAATTTGGATTTCAAAATATCATTTCTCTATTACTAACGTGAAAGCAGTTGTTGGAGTGGCTTCCTTTATTGACCAACTAATGTTACTGCTTTCAAACATATCCATCATTGTCATCACTTTTGTATAACATATTTGAATGAAAAAACCGTAATAAAACTCAACTTTTTTTTAGTAAAATTAAGGCATTGAAAAAAACATTTAGATAAAAGAGTTTACATACAGTTCTTGTACACTGCTCTTACTGTGCTAGACACACACAGTTTTTTTTATTAAATGAGGTACAAAATAAAAGTTTTTACATTGTACCTTTTAATAGATTTTGATAGTTTTGTATGTTTAGTACAGAACAGTGTCAACTGGAGGTAAGAAACCGCGCTTAAGTTTTTACCTTTACTTCAAATGCTTCTCTATGTTAGTTTCTAATATATAGGGAATTAGGCGGATATTGAAGAAGAAAATAGTCAATGCTAACATATCAATTAATTACTAACATTTGTCTATAAAAAAAGGTGAAGATTGAATTCCATATTTTCTTTCATATGTTATGTTTATTTTTTTATTCTTTTTGGTGTTGTGTTACTTTGAACTGGGCTTTGAACCACAAATACTTATTAAATTATGAATTTCCTTGTACATGTACCGTACTTAGAGTATTTTTTTATTTGTTTCAAGTGAAATTTATGGTTTTCTCATATGATAATATAATATAATTTGTGATTTTTAGTTTCATTGTTGTTTGAATTTAACACAATATTTGACTTTTTAAACTTTTATTGTCATGTTTTGCTGTGAATTCCTCTAATGAACAAACTCATTTTTCATTTTCATACCCGTAGCTTGATTTTTATTTTATTTTAAATGCCGTATCTATCTCGTGTCTTTACCTTTACCTATGTATCATAGTTGTTGGGTGATGTGCTCTATGGTGTTATTGGTCACATATTAGGATATTTGTGGGTCAGTTGTTTACTTGACATTCTAGTTTAACATTCTAGTTTACAGATACTTGAAATAGGATTAGTGAAATTTCTCCTATCCTAGTCCTAGAATTTTAGGATATCTTTTTCCCTCTGGCTTTTAACCTTGTCATTCTTTATGCACTTTCTTTTCATTGATCACTCTCTTTTCTCATTTGGAAACAGATAAGGATTTGAACTATGATGATTTGGCATCTGGGCTAAAAGCATCTCTTCAAAAAGATAAGTCTGCATTTGATGCTGATCGCCTGCAAAAGTATACTGGTAATTCTGCTTGGACCTTGCATTGCCCTTATGCAAACTGACTATAGAATGTGTCAAACTTCATCTTCAATTCAGTTTATGTTTTTATCATCAAATGAATTTTGAGACTACATTTTGTTAAGATTATTTAAGGGTAGGTAGTTAGGTACAGAGGTGAAATGAGTATATTGTATTGTAGAGCATGTACTGGTACATACAGTTACATACTAGTAAGTAATCAGGCCTCAAGACTTTGAACAGAGCACTGAATAGTTTTGCTTGGTATATATTTGATTGCCTGACGTGCTTGAGCATGAACCGCAGTCAAATTGTAATTACTCACACAAGAGGACAATGTTGAGTCTGATATTTTTGTATAAGTAGCAGCATTTTTACAAATATGTATTGACATCTCTGTTTACATCAAGCCTTCTGGTGGGTTTGCTTGCTTTCTATGAAGAAATACTCTTCCCTCATAACACACTGACAAATTCAATTCACAATGTTAGGTCCACAACTACGCGAGCTTTTGAATTGGCCTAGACCTCTTCCTTTGGAAGATGAACGTGTTAGGTTACTTCACGAGGTAAACAAATCATTGCTTCTGAAGTTATACCTTTATTCTCAGTTATATCACCCATCTTTGTTTTTATTAGTTTCATTCCTTTTTTTGACATTCAATTCTGTGAATGTAACTAATAAAAATAATTGTTAAGCATCTCTTGAAATGTCATAGTCATATGTCTAATATCTTCACTTCTACTGCTAGGTTGGGATTGAGCTGGAAAGAAGTTTTGACGGAAAAGCTTCTAACCTTGTTGAGCAGGCTGGAAAATCAGCTGTGAATCTTGTTGCCCTTGTTGCACGTCATTTTCCTGGTAGAACATTTTCTTCTGAAATAAAATTATGACAAGTTTTAAGTATTTATTTTTCAAGTTGATATTGATAGTGTGCAAAGAATTTGTTTCACTGACTCCTAATATGAAATGTTCTAGGCTTTAGAGACCACTCAGTGTACAAAGGTCGTCAAGTATTTTTATATAAAAGAGCTCAGATCTTTGTAGCAGATTTATGGGGTGCATTTAATGGCCAAGGATATGGTGAATTTAAAGACATCAGCTCTCTGACTATAATGGCCGACTATATTGTCCCCGCCGTACTTCAGCAGCTTGGCATTTTAAAATTCAGTCCAAAACTTGCCAGCACTATTGAAGCCAGTGGTGAAATATGTCCGGGGACCGAGGAGGAAGTTGAACTTCGAGCTTGCTCTATACATGCTGTTGAGAAAATGAGGGAGCTGATAAGTGTAAAATCAGGAAGACAGGTGAGTTCTTTTCTCTGATAGTATCGTCTCCTAGTTGTTACCTCTGTCTATGTGGCTATGTTCAATGTGTATGGTGAAAATGACTATCTTTCTGATTGAGTCTGGTATGATCTTATTTCAGGTGCTGAGTGTAGAGATGGATCTTTGGCTCTGGGCTTCTGGAGTTCAGAGTGAATCTCTGAAGCACCACCGAACACTTTCAATATATTATTGAGCATATGTCATATATGATAATTCCCAGATATCAACAATTTAGTTTTAGAACAAGAAAATTTTGGCTGTTTAAAGGTTATTTAAGATTATGTGAGTGCTGTTGAAAAAAATTCTACACATGGACTCGTGGATAATTTTGAAGATTTTGTAGACCAATATGTTGTTTTTTGGAAAATATTTAGAGGTTGGTTTGATAATTTAAAAAAAAATGAATTAACTTATAAAATTTAAAAGATTAATGATAATTAATTTGACATTTAATATTGTATATAATAATAGAGGAATTTTAAAATTTTTGTTTATAGAAATGGCTTTTAAATTTTTCTAATTTTAACTTTGACAAAATATTTTATATATTTTCATGGTAACTCCAAATTCTTTATGTGAAAACAATGCAATTTATTTAGAAGAATTTCAATGCCACCAAAAAATTATACTACTATGTTAGTAAATAGGGATGTCAATGGGGCGGGGCGGGGCCGGGGGGACACTTCCCTATTTTTTTCCCGCCATCAAATTCATTCCCCGTCCCCGATCTCTGTCACGGGGGAATTTCTATCCCCATCCCCGTTCCCCGCGGATCCCCGTTCCCCGCGGGGATCCCCATAGATCATACATTTATTCATTAATATTTTATTTTTTTAAAATGTTTATATTTTCTATGAAAATAAAAAGCACAAAGAATTCACATATTTATTATGTTATTAAAAAATATTAGTATTTGACATTTATTATTTTTTATTAAAAATACTAATAGAACACAAAATAATAATATTTTTTTTATAAATTTCTATAAAATGTTATAAAATTCAACAAAATGAAACGCTTCAACTTTTTTAGGGTCTAATATTTACATTTCTCTCTCTTAATAAATACATGAATATTTATTTATTTATTTTTATAAATAAACATAAAGGAAATGACTAAAAAACCTAATCTAAAATATATATATTAAATTAACTATATTAAAATAATAGACGGGGCGGGGTCCCCGCGGGGCGGGGGGTGTATTCCCCGTCCCCGAAATGCTCTCGGGGGAAAATTCCCCATCTTTGGGGCCCCGAACGGGGCATTCCCCGCGGGAATCCCCATTAACTGGTCCAAACTGACATCCCTATTAGTAAAACATAGTTTATCTAAAATACATTTTGTTTTTCTCTGTCCTTTTGATCCATACTAATCTATAACAATTTTTTATAGCAAATTTAGTTTATGAACTTTTTTTTTGCTTATAGATATGATTTTAAGATTATTTCTAAGATGAATTTTTGTTTAATAATTAATTATAAAAATGAATTTCACTAATTTAATTGTCAAATTAAGCTTTCATTAAATAAATCAGCTCTATAATATTTAACACAACTATTATTAAATAATTTATATAAACATATAACATAAATATAAGTGGATTATATAACTATGACTTTTGAATTTATTCTACAAAATTTTGTAAGCTCAATATATATTATAACAATAGTCAATAGTTAAAAGCAATATCAACCAAACATTTATTCACTATAACTGAATTATAATATTCTATTAAAATAATATTTGTATTTAACTTATTAATTAGAGATAATTTTTAATAGTTTCTTTTACCGATGTTTTTGTCATTTTCTACTTCAACTATTTGACTCTTTATCTAATCTATATTTCTTACTGAACTTGAGAGTGAGGTGGAGGGTACCTGCAAGACACTCCGATGTCAAAGTGAGTTTCGGAATGAGCAAGCAAGTAAGAGACTAAGAAATGTTCAATATCTGACACTCTAAAAATAGAGGGTATTTATAGCCCCCAGCGCTGGACTAAGATCTCCTCATTGGTCTGGTCAAGCAGGCCCAAAGTGGAGACTGCCAGATCCTACGTGAGTAGTGGGGACCGCATGTGGTCCCTAACCTGGATGACGTCCTTCGCAAGATCAGGAGGATATGGACGCGGTCTTTCCGAAGTCACGAAAACTCCGCGATATTCGGAGACGTTGAAAGTCAGTCCTAAGAGGAGGATGCTCGCGAGGTGCTTCTGTTCGTCGTGGATGTTCCCCGCCAAATCTGAGGTCGTGTGAGGGGATCGGTCCTGGTCGGGGAGAGGATCGTAGGGTGACCTCGAGGTCCTCCTGACCGACGATGACTGACTGGATTTGTCTCCGTACTGTGAGGTTGCCTCCTTGCGGGGAGTTGGAGTTGCTGCCCGACGGAGTCGAGGACAAAACTGGCCAGTATACCTTGACCGACATAATTGGATTGGGCCTCGCATGGAGTTAAGCCAAAGGCAAGCCCAGTGCAGAACATTTACGATATAGTCCACACTTGAATTATTTAAATCTAATTTGTAAAATCTTTTTTACTTTAAGTGTTACTCCAACGATCTCTAATATTCTAATGATTTTTAATATTGTCATTTCTAATCTTGTGTCATTTAGTTTTACTTCACATTCAACGCATCATTCTCATCTGCTATATTTAATTTATTTTGTGTTGTTCTTTATATTCAAAATTTTGTCTTGTACAACATTGTCGATTTTATAGCCCGATAAAATTTTCTCTTTAATTTGAACGATGCATTCGTATTCCATAGAACAATTGAGGTCCTCCTCTATTTCAACCATCTATCTTAAATTCAATGGTTTACATCTTATTATATTTCTCAATTATTTTGTACTATGGATCAAAGATATTTAAACCATGTAATTTGTTGTATGATATAATCTTCAACTTTCACCTCTACGTTAAAAATGCTTTATATGTTGCTAAACTTACATTTCATACACTACATCTTACTTTTGTTTAGACGAAAATCATACATACTAAGACTCGACGCGATGTCTCTACCTCTCATTTAATTTCATACCCAAATCTCAAAATAAAATTATATCATATACGAAAACATACATTTCAGTGTTGCCTCTTGAACGTGTTCCACAAGTATATTCAAAACTAAAATTAAAAAAAAATCAGGGTTGAACCTATTGCAATTCTATTCTTAGGGGAAAATCGTCTGTCTCTCCATTCTATATCTTTGAACTTGTTGAGACCTTTTCATACATATCTTGAATAGATTGAATATAGACAATCTTAATTCCTTTCTTCTCTAAGACTTTTCACAAAATCTCTCTAAACACTATGCGGTACGACTCCTCCAAATCAATGAAAATTAGGAGCAAATCTTTACAAAATCTTTCTAAACACTCTATGGTACTCCTCCTCCAAATCAAGGAAAATTAGAAGCAAATCTTATTGATCTATCTAATATTGTTCCATTACACATTGTAGTGAATAGATTGCTTTCATTGTCAACTTCTTAAACATATAACCAAATTAGTTATAAAAAAATTTGAGTCCATTTTCTTAGTCTTTGATCAATCACTCATTAGTTTATGGGTATGGTATGACTCATAAATTTAACTTCTCTATAATTTACATAATTTTATGTATTTTTCATGTTTTTATAAATTGGAATTTAAATGTTTATTCTCTATTTATTCGATATTTACTTTGATCTGATAAGTTTGTTAACAAGTTTGGTGAGACACAAAATGTCTGTATCTCTAAGACTTTTCAACACTTTAATAAGTTCTCTAATGTCTAGTTTGTTAGAGTTTAGTAAAAAGAAACAACTAAAAGTGCGGTGATACCATGGAAAATGAATATATGCTACATAACCCTGTAAAATAAGTACAACATCATGTGTATTACAAGATGTGCAAATTAAGTTTTTGTTAGGGTGAACATACCAGGTTACATCAGAAAAAAACAGATTCTAATTCTCATCTCAAATCTCCATTTTTCCTACTAGTTTAGTTAGGGAGGAATCTATGAAATAGTTAGTAAATGAATTATTATCTACAACAATATTATCCAGAAATCAAAGGTCTTCCGAGACTACTAGTTCAGTTAGGGAGACATCTATGAAATATGTTGAGCTGAAAACGTTAATTATGGGAACTTAAAATATAAAACTTATAAAAGTAGCTTTTACAAAGTGTTTGTGTTGTTAACCGCATGATAACCCGTTGATCCAAACATACGATCTAAATGCATCAATCTTATTGATACAAGTTCATTATACAATGCAACATAACCATGACTACATTTTTTTACTAAACTTTTTAAAACAATTTCCCAAGCAAAGCTTTTTCATCATTCTTTAGACCAAGATTGATCTCGTTAGAAGAATGGTGATAGACTTCATCACAAACCACCAAATAGAGTTATAAAGGTAAACACTACATGGAAGTAACATTAGATGATGTTTGTTTTTTTTACCTTTGTTTGGTTTCCAGTAGTAGAAGGGGTTGAAAGAGCAACAAAATAATACATCGTTCTTGCTCTTTGCCATTAGGTGATGTTTTATGCCAGAGTCATATGTGTGATTAGTTTTGAGTCTTCAAAAAACACCGAGTAAGACGGAGGAAGTACTAATCAATTTGGTAATATTATTGCTGTTCGCTGTGAACAGTAAATGCTTGTTTATATTTCTGCATAGATTGACTCTCAGGTCAAACAAAATAAAATTCGAATTCTAAACAGGCAAAACTTTAAGTAAATCATGTATTTGAACACATTGCCTTGGTCAGCAATTTTCTAACATCCATGAAAGTAGATGTCCTATTCTTACAGCATACCCAACAACCCAACGAAAAACATATCCTTTTAAGTCATCAAAGACCATTTATCATTTCCTTCATCTCGGCAGACCTCCTTTTAAGTCATCAAAGACCATTTATCATTTTCTTCATCTCAGCAGACCTCCTGGGGTCAGGTTCTTCAATTGCTCTCTCGGTAAGCACGTGTTTGATGCGACACATTGACTTTCTCACCTGATTTCACATAAATTAAATGGACAAAAATCATTGATAAGCCATGCACGTTTTTTTCCTGCTACCCCTAGAGTTAAATCTCTACATTCAATTTCTCCAGCATGTTCTATACAAAACAGTGTGATTTTCTATACCAACACATCCACGTAACTAAGGGTAACAAAAACAGCACACGTAAAGCAGAA